AGGGCGAGGGTGATACTGTGCGCGCCCATCCGCCGGCGTCGCGGCGAGCCATGATGTGCGTCTCTAACCAGAAAGACGAGTACTTTATGAAAGCGCTGCTTACTTCGTCCAGCGGGGAAGTTACGTGTTATTGAAGAGCCGTGTCCGCGTGGATGTGGACAGGCTGGGAGGACTGAGCCCTAGGCTCTGAGACGGTGTGCAGTGGGTGTGGAGGAATTTTCCAAACCGAGGCTGGACCTGATGGCCGGCTGGAGAACTGGAGGCTTAGTTAGGCTAGGTCCCTTTCTCTTTGCAATATGTGTTGCCGAAGTTTACCGTATTGTAACAAATGTTTCGCCTGCGCGAGGTGTGTCGAGAACAATACTTTGTTCGTGCCCGCTCTTTGACTCGACGAGTTGCTACCTTTTTACCTCGGTGTAACTTTTCAGTCCTTCTCGCGCACGTGGGTAATGTACCGCAATATCCCATTGCGTATTGATTATCCAGAGGCCTTCTCTGAGGGATTACCTTCTTTTTTGACATCTTGGCCGTGTTTTTCCGTAGGACCACTTGCTTCTTTGCTTGATCAAATCGGCGTAACCCGATGAAGCTTCAGTAGTTTCCCATCCAATTGAAGTTTTTTTAAGATTTGTAAATCTGGGATTCATAGAAACTGGAATTCTTTTTTCCTTCTTTTTTTTTTAAGGCAATGGTAATCAATTTTTGTCCTTCTGGCCCAAGAAAAGAAAAAAATATATTATCTGATCTGTTCAAAATGCTGATCTGTTATTAGTTTAAAAATGGTTCAAGGATTCCTATCCACTGTGTGCCTGCCTCTGAATTAATAACCTTTCGAGAGTCTACAGTGTTGCCCAGGCGTGCTACCCCTTTACGAGGTGTAAATAGTCTTTTCCCCTTTCATAGAAAGGGCTCTACTTAAGTTGTTTATGTGACTCCAGTTTTTTAAGAAACGGCGAGATTTGTAAATTAAAAACCCGTGTTCTCCATCGTAGACACAGTGATGACTGTTCCGGCAGCCCTTGCTCTGTAAGGTTGAGGAAAGCAGACTAGTTCGCTGGTAAGGACAGTACAGCACTGTGTAAGAGGGTGATTTAAGCCAGTGTCATAGGGGGGGCGGCTTGGACAGTGGGCGTCGAGGAAACATTCCTGAACGAGATGATCTCGGAGTTGAATTTTGAAGGACAAGCGGGCTTAACCAGCTAACGGGGAAGGACGGTGTGTGCAAACGGGAAGGGAGGAATACCAGCGCAGAGCTGCCCTGTGGTGCAGTGTCCTGGCCTCGCTGAGTTAGGGTGCAGAACGGGGAGGAGCCATGCGCGAGTGTTTGGGGTCTTAATCTGGGGAGCACTGGGCGTGAGCACTGCCCTGCGGTGTGAAGGTGTGCTGTGCTTTTCCAAGGCTCTCAGCCCCTGTCCTGCTTTTATCGTTTGATTTCAGAAGGCCCTGGGAAGACAAAAGTGTAAGCGTCCTGTCCGTGCTCTGACCCTAGCCTCGCTATTCATTCCTAAAAGGCTGTACCCCTTTTGGCCAGTGAGTCGCTTGGCCTCTTCAGGTTCTAATTTTAAAAACAAAAAGTGCCCCAGCTTTGTACTGTGGAAGTAGCAGGCCTTAGTCTCCCAGGTCTGGAGAGAATGTGATTTTCACATCATTTAGAATTTGTGTTTGCTGAAGTAAATTACTATGGAAAACTAAGCTGCCTTATCATGCTCTGATTTGAGAATGTTAGATCTTATATTGTAACTGGGTTTTTGTTGTGAATAAGTGAATTACTTTACATAGTCTTTGAAAGTTCTTAAATAAGAATAGTCAGTATAAATCACCTGAGAATTTTTATGTCTGTTACAATTATTTTTCTTGGAAATACATTTCTAGAAATGATTGGTGAAAGTAGAGATCAGTAAAAAAGCAGAACTAAGTCTGTTGCTCAAAAGCTAAGAAATGGATTTTTCAGTCAATGTCTCTTGCAGTACTTTGCAAACAGTCCAATAAGGATATTAAACTGATGTTAGCCATTCTAAGATTTTTTTTTTTTTTAAAGGTTTGTGATATTGGTATCTGGAAGCAGGGAACTTAAAACAAGATAATCTAGATTTGTCCTTTTTTAACCTAGTTCATTTGTGCAGTTGCACTTTTTTTTTTTTTTTTTGGTTTTTCTCCGGTACCAGGAACCGAACTCACGACCTCGCGCTTGCCAGGCAGGCGCTTTTTGCCGTTGAGCTAAATCCCCAGCCCCAGTTGCACTTTTTTAAGTACTGGGAATAAACAACACTGAGAACATGAGATGCTTCAGCTGTTTAAAGAAAATAATTGCTTTCTCTACTTTATTGAGGATTTCGAGGAATACAGTAACCTGAGAGTATTAATGGTATATCTTTTCAGTTTCTTAGAAATTATACTTTAATGGAATATATTTAGGAGGCCCCATTGCTCTAAGATGAGTTCCTATAAAAGCAGTTTGTGTGAATTTAAAAAGATTCTAACATTTGAGCATCATTTTATATCTTTATTCACCAATTATGATAGTCTGTTGATAAGCATCTGTTTTGTTCAGTAACTGTTGTCTCCTTTCACCTTTGATGTTTGTGTGCAGATGTTTGTGGATTCTGTGGGATCAGAGGGCACGCCTACTGCAATCAGAAAACTTCAAGTGTAACAGCAGGGATGGATGAACAGGCTCTGTTAGGGCTAAATCCAAACGCTGATTCAGACTTTAGACAAAGGGTAAGTTAGTCTGTTTAAGCATTTCTTAAAGCATGCTGCCAGAAATGTACATTAGAGGACTAAAAAAATATTTCTGACAATAAAGGTCTAATTTAGGTGGAAATGAATACAGACTAATTTGAGGTAATTGTATTCTGAATACAGAAATAGTATTGTGGTTTATTTTTGGTTTAATTGTCTGAACAAAAGCGTTGAAATCTCATGTGATTCAAGGCAGGTCTTTATGCAACATCTGTCTTCATTTCTAATTGTTCAAAAGTTGTCAGAGAGAGGATTGTTCAAGGGACTTTCTGTAGTAGCAGACATGTATATTTTATGTTGCTTGGCGTGGTCTGTCCAAGTTGTTTAACCCTTGTGTGAGTGATACTTAACATCCTTTTTATTTAGCCAGCCAGACATGTAAATAAGCAGTTATGATATTCCATGTCTTAAGTTTCATAAAATGAGAACACGACAGGACTCCATTAGGAAGTGCTAGGATATTTGGATAAATGTAAACAATTACACATGATATAGTCAACAACTATAATCATGACTATAGCTGAGAGAAATGGGAAGCTAAAGAACAAGCCTATAATTAATTTTTAAGGACTTGTGGGCGTTCTGAAGTACAGGATAAGAGGGAGGGAGGGGGTTTCTCATCTTTCGTTTCTCATGGCAAACAATACTTTCTATAAACGAGGGGAATGAGGTTAACGATCCCACTAAATTTTATAGCCATTTTTGTTCTTTTAAGCAGAAAGTTTTTAAAATAGTAAAGAAAAAAAAAAAAAAGAAAAATGTGAAGTAGTTCCTAACATAGTATGTGCTTCTGCTAAGTAACTACCCTTCTGATATAGCAAATACTGAGATCATTTGAAAATTTGCTGAAATTCACATCATCATGTAGTTGTACTTAACCTTTTTTAGGCCGCTTACATGATAAAATTGAAATACTGTCCTGTGTAACAGCAAATTGAATAAGTACACAATATGGTTTATCTCTTATAATCACTTTCTAGTAGCAGATTTGTCATTAAAGGACGCCCTTTATGTGTGCTTTTATACTTGTGCATATCAGTACTACACAATTTAGTAAAATACTTGTACGTTGTCTTGGTCTTTTTAATAACCTAGTGAGGTGTGCGCGGATTCTTATGATATCTCCTTTGCTGTAAGGAGACAGAGGTTTGAGTATCTGATGGAATTTGTCTTTCATTTAATTTTTTTGGCTAGCACCTAATCAGAAGCTGGAATTGGGGGCTTTAGCCATCTTTCTATTAAATTAGTTCGCTGTTACCTAATCTTTGTTTAGTATTCATAGGGCTTTGAGATTCACTATTCCAAATGCTTTTCCTTGTTTTGCGATCTTACAGGCCCTAGCCTATTTTGAGCAGTTGAAGATTTCCCCAGATGCTTGGCAGGTATGTGCAGAAGCTCTGGCCCAGAGGACATACAGGTAATTTAAAAAAATGTATATGACATGTAAAAGAATTGCAGGTTTCTGTGAACATGGCAGGACTGTTTAAGTTAACCTATATTTGGAAAGCATTGCCAGAAAAGCCTCTTGTGACCTGTCCTTTACCTTGATGTGTACTCATTTATTACAGAATTGAGAAAAAACAGTAAATCCATAGTTGGGCCTTTCTAGAGTTGACTTTCCAGTAAAACTTCCTTTGCCGTTATGTATGTAAATATGTAAACGTTCAGTTACCATTCTTTTGCCTTTGGACCAATGTCTTGTCACTAGCATTCGCTTCATTCGTTCCCTCTGATCATACCGGAAAGCCGGTTTCTGCATGAGTGTCTAGTGGAGTGAGGGACAGTGAATGCAGACTTGGAGGTATTTGCTCCCAGCTCTCAAGTCTGATGATTTCACCCACATCAAATCTGTACAAGCCCCTCCATGACACTCTATGGAGTCATTCTAAAGCGATCAGTTTAATTCTACAGAAATAGAAACTCTCATTTCATTTCATGGTTTATAAAATAACTTTTTTTAATATATAAAACTGGCATAATTAAGCGGTGGGAATCAGAGTTGACTAGCTAGCAACAAACAGCTCACTGGCCGGAGCAGAAGTGCACAGCCTCCTGATGGAGACGTGTGACCGGAAGTGCACAGCCTCCTGATAGAGACGTGTGACCATCATTCTGTTCGGTAGTTGGAACTCACAGCTTGAATGTAGTGAAAGTTGATTTCAGGAACATCTGCGTCTTACAGATGGTGTTTAATTAAAAGCCTTCCAGTAGTTTATTTCTCGAGTATAATATCTAAAAAGTTTTTTTTATTTATTCATGTATTATTTTGGTGGCACTGTAGATTGAATCCAGGACCTCACATATGCTGGCGAGTACCCTATCATGGAGCTATATGCCTAGCCTCTTATTTTTTGATTTTGAGACAGGGTCTTGCTAAGTTGCTCAAAGCGGACCTTAAACTTGTGATCCTCTTACCTCAGCATAGCTGCGTTTATAGATGCGCACCACCATAGTTGACTGAAAATCTTAATAATTTTGTATAATTTTTATAAATCTTATATAAAGATTTATAATTTTCTTAAAGCTGAAGAATAACCTATAATAAAAACAAATCTAAAGTCTGAAAGAGATACTAAGTAATCCTAACTAAAAGCTTTTAAAAAATATTTTATCTACTTTGTATGAAATTATTTTATTAGGTCAATTCATATAGCCTAATTAAGATGAAATCTGTATTCTTACTTGGGTGTGTTACATTTTTAGGAAAAGTTATTCCATGACTAAGCCTGACCTAAATCAATACTTTAAATGAGCACATTGTTAGACTCTAAAGGGGCTTCGTCAGAGTTTATATGTGGCTCACTGTATCCCCACTAGAGAGAAAACTGGAAGTGGCTAGCTAGCGGGTGTTAATTCTTACTCCTGTCATAAGAGTAACATGCGATTTCGTTTCCTATATGAACTTAGAGATGAGATTGATGGTCCATGTAACCTTTCTTGTTTTAGATAAAGTAGAAAGTGTTCAGAAATCTTGATATTTAGAATTCAAGGAACATGCTTTCAGTTTACAAAGCACTGTGTGTAAGGTATATCTTAGATTTTTTGGTTATTTTGCTTACAGTATTCAAAGAAAATACTGTATAGCATATATAGATTTAGAGGTCTGTTATATTCAAATAGATTTATGAACAAATAGATTTCAGGGTTACAAAATGAGACTGGTAAGTAGAAAACAAGTCAAAGCCAGAGGTCTAGTTTGAGAAACTTCTGATGTTCATGAATATTTTGCTGTTGTTATTCCCCAGGTCATATTGTGATTATCTAATTTTCTTTTTCGTTTTTTCAGTGATGATCACATAAAGTTTTTCTGCTTTCAAGTATTAGAACATCAAGTTAAATACAAGTAAGACTTTCCTTAAGGTTTTGACTCAGAGATTTGTGGGGAGAAACTATTTTTATTTGGCTTTTTCTTTCTTGAGGAAATCATAATAGAGGTTGAAAATTGGCAGTGTATACGTTGCATCCAGGTTATAGATGTGTTTTATTTGTCCCAGACTGAGTTAGTTGGTTACACATAAAATTACAGACCTTAAAAATCTAGATTTCCCACTTCTCTGGAAAAGCCAGAAGATGTAGAAATAGTAGGCCTGTTTTCTACATGACAGCTCTCTAACAGCTGAGTGGCAACACTTCTATTCAGAACCCCGACTTCAGTACTAGGGAAAACAAAAACTCGTTCACTGATTCATTCTGTAGACCACGGACCTCAACCATGGGCATGTTTCTGTTCAAAAGTTGTGACTGTCATTTTTTCTCAGTGCTAACTGAGCCACAATCAAAGCTTGGTAACGATGCCCTGTGGCCGCTGTCATCCCTGTCTTTCTGCTGCAGCAGTGTTGAGAGGCGATAGCAATTTAACGTAGGAAACTTGAGATGACTGACTGCTGAACAAACTTTCCTTTCAAATATATGAGACTGTTGCTTTTCAAAACCATAGACACCAAATACAGCCACTATTTTTTTCTGCTTTATTTTGAACAGATATTCAGAACTAACCACTGTTCAACAACAACTAATTAGGGAGACACTCATATCTTGGCTTCAAGCTCAGGTAAAATAGTTAATTTCATTCAGTGCCTCAAATGATCACATATTTAATACTTTATATTAAAAGTACCTGCTTTTGAAAATCATGGGTAGAGGGAAATTCAGTAAAAAAAAATTTCTTTTTCGAGACAGTGACTCGCTGTGCTGCTCATGCTGGCCTTGAACTCACTTCGTAGCCCAGGCTGGCCTCGAACTCTCAGTGATCCTCCTGCCTCAGCCTCCCAAATGCTGGGATTACAGGCATACGCCACCACACCCAGCTTCACTAAAAATTTTAAATTATGTCAATAACTGAAACTTATACTTTCCATGATGTTGTGGAAACCTGGGTTTAAAAAAATAATTTATTAGTATTTTTCATGCCTTGACAAAAGCTGGTATCTTCTATTTGGCTTGTAAAGGTGAGCCCACCTGGACAGCTTTAAAGGGGCGCTTTTCAAAAGGCCAGTAGAGTTCTATATTCGTTGCACGTACTGTTTGTTTTTGTGTAGCGAATCTTGACGTATAAATCAGTTTTGTAACTAGGGTTTTTTATTTCCTTTATTTTATTTATTTATTTATTTATTTTTTGCGGTACTGGGGATCTAACTCATGACCTTGCACTTGCCAGGCAGGCACTTATGCTACTGAGCTATATCCCCAGCCCTTTATTTCCTTTAAAGAGCAAGCAAATAGAAAAATTCTGGATTTTTCTTCTTATTAGAGGAAATTATACAGATTACTAAAACTTCGTGCCTGAAACTTTTCTCAAAGGTGTAAAAATAAGTATCAATTAGAATCATAATTTGATTGTTGTTCCTCTGACCAGTCATTTAAATACTTGGATAATTTTTACACCATTTGATTACACTACTAATCAGGATCATGTTGAAGTTTGGTGAGCTTCTGCCTAGTAACAAAATGTGAAAAAGCTGATTTGAAGTCTTTTCAATTTGAATGTGATTGCATGGGCTTTTTCTGTTTCTCAGATGCTGGGCCTCCAACCAGAGAAGACCTTTATACGCAACAAAGCAGCCCAAGTCTTCGCCTTGCTCTTTGTTACAGAATATCTCACTAAATGGCCCAAGTTTTTTTTCGACATTCTCTCAGTAGTGGACCTAAATCCAAGGGGAGTAGATCTGTACCTCCGAATCCTCATGGCTATCGATTCAGAGTTGGTAGATCGTGATGTGGTTCACACATCAGAGGCAAGTAACTTCCCATTAACATTTGGTGTTCAATGTAGACTTTATGGGTGAAAATGGGCAGGAAATCTATTTTCTTTTAGCCAAACAGTTTCAAGGATAAATGTAAATTTACACAGCATTTTGAATTTTACTGAAAAAGGAACTTGAGTTTTTTCAGATGTAGCTTGAAATTTGAGTATTACATTAGCTTTTTTAATCTAGGCAAAACTTTTTACCACTGAAATGCAAGAGTTGATTTTCTCCAGTGAATTTGTTAAGATATGTGGCATTTATTCAGTACTGTTGTAAAGTCTCTCAGCAAGGAAAGAGCAGTGCCTGTGAACTGCCAGTGCTGATTACTATATTCTCAGTCACATAGCTCAACACCTTTGTCTTTCTCAGTTTATTAGCCTGTTTAAGTTGCCTTTTTTGGTTTGGTTGGTTAATTGGGTGAGGGAGGTGTTTTAACATAGGGTTTCACTCTATGGGCCAGAGTGGCCTTAAACTCATTCCATAGCCCACACTGGCCCCAAACTTGCAGTCCTCCTGCCTCAGCCTCCTAAGTGCTGGGATTACAGTGTGTGCCACTATGCCCAGCGCTTTTGCCTTGTTCATAAAGGACACAATAGAAATAGCTTCAAATGTATATGTTAATTTAAGATCATTGTAACTAAAACATTTTAAACTAAACTTTAAAAGATACTGTACATTTAAGCTACTATCATTGACAAATGGTTTAGGTATAATATTTACCTAATATTAAGATATAAATTACTACATGCTCAAGATTTTAAAGCAATGCTTGCTTTATAGTTTGTATTTAATAAGAAATTAAGTCTGGCGCAGAGGAGTAGGACGGAAAGAGGAAATAAAAAGAATCACAGGATGTGACTTTAGGCCTGGTAAATAGGAAGCCAAGGCAAGGAATGTGTTAACAAGTCTGGAGCCTCACTGTGGAGGAAATTATTGTGTGAAACTGTATTCTGATGTCAAATGTTATTTTATAATCTGCTTTGTTCTGTTTGCAGGAGGCTCGTAGGAATACGCTAATAAAAGATACCATGAGAGAGCAGTGCATTCCAAATTTGGTGGAATCGTGGTACCAAATCTTACAGAATTATCAGTATACTAATTCAGAAGTGACATGTCAGTGCCTTGAAGTAGTTGGGGCTTATGTCTCTTGGATAGACTTATCCCTCATAGCCAATGATAGGTAGGTATGCCTATAATCTTTAATGCGGGTGTGAAAAGTATAGTATCTAAGACTTACGAGTTTGGAAATGCTGAAACAGTTTCGTTCCCCCATTACCAGGTTTATAAATATGCTGCTAGGTCATATGTCAATAGAAGTTCTACGGGAAGAAGCATGTGACTGTTTATTTGAAATTGTAAATAAAGGAATGGACCCTGTTGATAAAATGAAGCTAGTAGAATCTTTGTGTCAAGTATTACAGACTGCTGGGTTTTTCAGTATTGACCAGGTCAGTAAATTTATATTTCATAAAGTTTTGAAAATTGTTGGAATAAGTGATGAGAGATAGAAAGCCAGGTATTTCTTTTTTATTTTCTCTGAATATCGGAAATTCTCCTTGTAATTGTAATAACCGACCTTATCTGGAGAGCCTTAATGTTACTTCACACTTACCTTGCGTGCACAGCACATTGTCCCGGTTTCTAAACTTGAAAGTCTGAATGGTGCATTTAGCTGTGAATTTCTGTGGTTTTTCTTTGGTTTTGTTTTTGGTGTGCGTGTGCGTGTGCGTGTGCGTGTGTGTGTGTGTGTGTGTGTGTGTGTGTGTATTAGTGAATAGTGAATGAACCCAGAGAGTAATGAACTACATCCCTGGTCCTTTGTGTTTTTTATTTATGTATTTTTTAAAATTTGTATCAAGGTCTTACAAAGTTGCTGAGGCTGGCCTCAGACTTGGCCCCTCCTACCCCAGTGTCCCAGGTAGCTGGGATTGCAGGCATGCGCTGTATTTATGTAATTTTTGCAAACTCCCAATGTTGACACGGCTGGTCCATAGGCCATACATTGAGAAGCAGGGGACTAATGCCGGGCGTGGGGTGCATGCCTGTAATCCCAGCACGCAGGAGGCTGAGGCAGGAGGATCACTGCGATTTCGAGGCCAGCCTGGGCTACAAAGTGAGCGCGAGGCCATCCTGAACTGCAGAGGGAGACTGTCTCAAAAAGACCCCCCCCCAAAAAAAAGAGAAGCAGGGGACTATACCAATTACAGGATAGTGCATTTTGACCAAAATAAGACCCAATAACCCTAAAAATTGCATTTTTGTCATATGTTTGAATTTTAATTTATTTGCACTTTAAGAACTTAGGCCCAGAAAGTGAGGATAAATTAATGGCTTAGATAGCTAGAAGTTTTCTGGGGGGTGTGTACATACATTGCTGGGAATCAAACCCAGGGCTTCAAGCATGCTAGGGAAATGCTCTGCTGCCGAACCACGTCCCCGGCCCATGAAGGCTTTGAAGTTCCAGCTGTGACAGAGAATTAAGGATTGCTAAAACGTCTCTAGTGGTGATAGCTCAAGCATGGCTCTAGCGTTTCTCTTCCTTCCTCACAGAGCAGTAGTAACATTTGGTACCTTTCTACTAATTGTCTTATTATTCCCTGGTTAAAAAAAGAATCTGAAAGCATTAGTAGTAGAGCCTCTCTCTACAGACAGTAGTGGCAAGGCTTTCAGTTTCAGTAGTAAGAGAGAGCCCCCTGCAGCACTCACACCGTGGGTTTGCCCCCACTGCTGCAGAAGGGATTAAGGGTAGTGAATAAAAGTAATGTGAATTTGAATCCCACCTTTAAGACTGATTAAGAACCTGAGGCTGGCCATTGCAGTAGCAATTTTGTGTCCTCATTGGATAGTTGAGGCCTAAATCCATATTATCAGAAAGGACTCTTACAAATCGTTACACTTACTGCAGTGTGGTAGCATCTACTTTGTGGAACATTTTGCTAAACTCAACAGCTCAGGGAGGAGGAAGTTCCAAAGCAACTATTTTTTTTTTTTTTTTAAGCCTTTACAAAGCTGGTAATGTCCCTAGGATTATCAAGCTTTATTCCTCAGATTTTGAAAATGCCCCCGTTACAGTGGTTGAATTGTTAAATGTCTAACGTCAGCTCAGAATGAATCCTGTAACTGGATTCACGCTAACATTTATAGTTTCCCTTCTTATGCGTGGGGTAGGTTGTTATAAATGGAAGTTGGTCTTGGTTGTTTATAGGAAGAAGATGTGGACTTCCTGGCCAGGTTTTCTAAGCTGGTTAATGGAATGGGACAGTCACTGATAGTTAGCTGGACTAAGTTAATTAAGAGTGGGGATATCAAAAGTGCTCAAGAGGCCCTGCAAGCCATTGAGACGAAAGTGGCGCTGATGTTGCAGCTGCTCATCCATGAGGACGACGACATCTCCTCTAACATAATTGGGTTTTGTTACGATTATCTGCATATTCTGAAGCAGGTAAGTCCCGTTACATTCCTTCATCCAGTAGGTAACATGAAAGAGCCGTGAAGCACTGGAAATATGAGGGAAGGGAAGCTAAGACAGCCGCCGTAATGCTGTTACCGGAGATACCTCGTTACTGCTGTGTTCTCCTGTTCGGTCTGGTTTTGTTTGCAGTGCTGGTTGTTGAACTCCGGGAGGGCTTCTCAGTAGGCTGTATCCTCATCCCTTTTTATTTTTTTCATTTTGAAGCAGAAATTCGGGAATTTGCCCAGGCTGGGATGAGTTTGTGAGCCTGTGTCTCCTCACCCTTCCGGAATCCTGGAATTATAAGCACGTGCCTCCATGCCTGGCCCTTATTTCTTGTTTTTAATAATACTTCTTAGCCAGAAAAGGAGAGTTCATATTTACCAGACTAACGAGTTTAGTTATAGTCTTAGGTTTGTTTGCTTGGGTTTTTGTTTTTTGGTGGTTTTGTTTTGTTTTCTTGGGGCCAAGTTTGTTTGTTTGTTTCTTGGCTATGTAGCTCAGGCTGGCCTTGAAGTTGGGGCAACCCTCCTGTTTCAGCCTTCTGGGTACTGCAATTCTAGGCATATGCTGTCATGCCTGGCCTTTTCATTGTGAACCTATATTTATTTCTACATTTGAAATTTTGTTAAATATTATTACCTTAATTTCATATATATCATTTCTTTTCTTTTCTTTTCTTTTTTTTTGGTTTTTCCAATACTGGGGATTTAACTCATGACCTTGTGCTTGCAGGGCAGGCGCTGTGTCACTGAGCTAAATCCCCAGCCCCCATATATATCGTTTCTTATAAACCATTTTTCACAATTGTTTGCTCAGTTATTTCCAATAAGGACTTAAAGCATAAGTGATGTTGGTTCCTATATTACAGCCTTGTACCTTTTGAAAAAATGTTACTTTTCATTAGACATTAAATGAGAACTATTTCTGTCATATTTGCATTGAGTTAATTGAATCAAAATTAATTTTTTTTGCAAAGACATTTAACTTCCTTTATTACTAATAAACGTCTGCCTGCATCCATTAAGAAATTTTAGTCATTGTAGATGGTGTAATTACTAATGGTAATTCCACTGTGTAGCTCTTAAATGGTTTTGTAGGCTTGTTTTGCTTTGTTTAAAAGCAACAGGAGACCATCCCTTCCTGTGTTATGGAAGCTGCTTCTTTGGTAAATACATTCTAGATAACTTTAAAAGTCACGTCTGTCAGCAGGTCTGCCTAGATGTTTTTTATGTACTACAAGTGAATTACTAGATCTCAGGTTGGGTGTGTTTTAAATATAGACAGATTCTGCCAGACCACTCCCGAAGTCTATATGTATTTTTCAGAGGATCTTACTTGATTAGAAAATAACACCAGGAAGCTTCATAAATTATTGCTTGCTTTTTTACAGCTTACCGTGCTCTCGGATCAACAAAAAGCTAATGTGGAGGTAATTGGCTTCTTTATGCTTCTTTTAAATCTATGATAATTTCTTTGGAATCTGCCTTGAAATGTAGCTTAATTTCAAATTATATCAAATTAAAGGAGACTTACTGACCAAAAGCTATTTTGTTTTTAATTTCAGGCAATAATGTTGGCAGTTATGAAGAAATTGACTTATGATGAAGAATATAACTTTGAAAATGAGGTAAGAATTTGTGCCAGGCAAGGTGGTGCATGCCTGTAATCCCAGCACTCAGGAGGCTGAGGCAGGAGGATTGTTGTGAGTTCGAGACCCTGTCCCAAAAAGTCACCAAAAAAAAAAGAAAAGAATTTCTGCATCAGAGAGAAACCAGTCTTGATTTTATTAGTTTATATCAAATTAATACTTCAAGTTTTGTTGTTTGGGGGCCCTTTAAAACAAGAAGTAGTATTTGAAAAATCAGTCTTGTTTATATTGACATTAACTTTGGGTAAAATTAATGCAAGCCTCTCAGTCTGTCATCTTTGATTTTTTTCTTTCCAATTATTATCTTTTTCAAAACATCTTAGAAGCCAGGAATGATGACACGTGTACTCCCAGCATTCTGGGAGGCTGAAGCAGGAGCTTCACAAGTTCAAGCTCAGCCTGAGCAACATGGCAAGACTCTGTCTCAAGAAATAAAGGGCTGGGGTGTAGCTCAAGGGGAAGGCCCTGAGTTTAATCCCTTTTAAACAGAAAAACAACTTTGTAGGAATGGCGGTGTAGCTCAGTGGTGGATTGCTTGCCTAGCATGCGCAGGGCCCTGGTTGTGTCCCAGCACTGCCAAGAGGGGAAAAACACTTAGTAAAACACTGACGATGTTATTGGTGGTCATGTGTCACTTTATATTCAATAAGAATGATGAATTGAGGCTGAGTCAATAGGCCTGAGTTATCCAGCCTGGATTTAGAGAGTAGCAGTGAGGCTTGTCTGGACTTGTTCTTTTTTTGGGAGGACAGGGTCTCATGATGGGGTACTGGCTGGCCTTGAACTCACGGTGATCCTCCTGCCCCAGTTTCCTGAGTGCTGGGAGTACAGCCATGCGCCAGCATGCCCGGCGTCTGGACTTGTTCTAGCTACAAGTCTTGTCCAGAGCTGTGGGAGGTCAGCTTCCTGTGACGCACACTGCCCTCGTCTGCTTCCTGGGGACTCAGTCGTAGCATGCCGTTTGGGCGTGAGCTAAAATGCCCCGTTCCCACGTTCCCAGGCATTCACACACTTCGGACTGAAAAGGAGAACTGTGAATGTGATCCACACTGCCATGCTCCTGATACTCTGTTTGCTGTCACACAGTATTGTTGCCACTTTTGGAAACCAAAGGAAGATAAACAAGATGCCGAAGGTCTCAGTCCGGTGTGAACCCGTGCTGGTTCTACCCTCTCATCCTAACCACCTTACACTGTAGGCTTTTCCCTCTAGGCTTCTGAGAGCTAGGGCTGTAGAGGATACTTACTTGTGAGCAGGAGGGGAAAAGCTAGTAGGTATCGGGATTTTTTGGTTTCGCTTTTCGTTTTTTGGTACTGGGAATTGAACTCGGGACCTCACGCTTGCCAGGCAGGCGCTTGTGCCGCTGAGCTATATCCCCAGCGAGTGATTTTTTTGTATGAATAATTTTTTTTGTATAAATAAATATTGGTGACAAATAAAAGTATGAACTTTATAAATGCAGAAAAGTACAGAACTAAACATTTCTAGGAATGTTAAGGTCTTTACAAAAATTTAACAAGTGTTTTAACCTGTACCACAGGGTGAAGATGAAGCCATGTTTGTAGAATATAGAAAACAGCTGAAGTTACTGTTGGACAGACTTGCTCAAGTTTCACCAGAGTTACTGCTAGCTTCTGTTCGTAGAGTTTTTAGCTCTACACTTCAGTAAGTTTGTTCCTGCTTTTGTAATAAGCCTGCTTCTTTGCTCCCTGATGGTGGTGTAAAACAGTGATTGGTGGACTTACTGATCCGTTACTTCTGTGCTTCTCTGGAAACAGTGTGCCTTTTCTTCATAACTTCCCGACTCGTCTTCTGTGACATAAATTGTGTTACTGGCAAAATTAATAAGTAGCAGGACTTTTGGATCATTAGAAGCTTGTGTATGTGCTGCCATCTTGTGTGTCACGAGTTGTGTGAAAAGTTCACGCTCGGCTCTCACTGACACGCTTGCCCCTTGGTAGGAACTGGCAGACCACACGGTTTATGGAAGTTGAAGTAGCAATAAGGTTGCTGTATATGTTGGCAGAAGCTCTTCCCGTGTCTCACGGTGCTCACTTCTCAGGTGATGTTTCAAAAGCTAGTGCTTTGCAGGATATGATGCGAACTGTAAGTATACCACAGGTAATCTATTTTGAAAATAATGTAATGTTTTTACTGTAAGCTGATGGAAGTTTCTTAATTGTTAGAGCTTATTTGTTTGAACTGGGGCTCTCTGATGTAATAAATAAGAACAGGTCTCATTCTCTGCTTGCTTCAGCTGGTAACATCAGGAGTCAGTTCCTACCAGCACACATCCGTGACGCTGGAATTCTTTGAAACTGTCGTGAGATACGAAAAGTTTTTCACAGTTGAACCTCAGCACATTCCAAATGTACTAGTAAGTACACACTTTACTGTGGATTATTTTCCACATAGTTCCGCTAATAACCAGAGAGTAGTCTTTCTGTCTTGTATTACTTTCCTCAGAGTCAAAACATTATCATTAACAATAAGTCCTCAAGAGCCTTTGTGTGTGTAATATAAAAGTGCTCGTGTATTTCTGCTCCCTGCCTTGAAATAAAGGAACCTAAGAAATAAAATTTGATATGAACAGATGCGCAGCGCAAGAGTAACTGAAAGGCTTGAGTAAGTCAGAAATAACCCAAGTGTCTCTGTTTCTTTAGATGGCTTTCTTAGATCACAGGGGCCTCCGGCATTCTAGTGCTAAAGTACGGAGTAGAACTGCTTACCTGTTCTCTAGATTTGTCAAGTCTCTCAAGTAAGTATAAGATTTCAACTGTTGTGTTTAGATTTTTTTAGCTATAAAGTAGGTATATAAATTACTTCCCCAGAGCCTGGCAAAGATTTGGTTCTTCCTGGTCTAAGGCATGCTTTACTAGGTATATTTTTCTTTTTCTTTTTTGGATTGGTTTGGTTTGACTTGGTTTGGTTTTTTTGAGACAGGGTCTCGCTATGTAGTCCAGGTTGGCCTTGAACTCGTGACAATCCTGCCTCAGCCTCCCGAGTGCTGAGATTACAAGCATGCACCTCCACGCCTGGCTGGCTGTTTTAACATGTGTTTCTGCTCATTAGTCAGACACGCGGCTCAGTGCTAACAGACAGTTTGTTTGCACGCGTTTCTGTGCTCGGTGCTTGGCGTCCAACCAGGGCTTTGCACATGGGGAGCGCGCTCAGTCACTGAGCTGGCCCCTCAGCCGCATTCGCGCACATCCAGTAGATGGCGCCTGTCGTCTGTGGCATTCGCTAGTTACGTAACAATTCTGTTACAACGGATGGCTATATGGTTTCTTTGAAATTCTCGAAAATATTCCTTGAAAATGCCTTTTTAACCTGTTTTATAGTATTCCTTACTAGTACGTTCGGTATGAATGTAATTACAAGACTGTAAGTTGTCTTGACAGTCCATCAGTACAGAGCAGAGAGAGATAATTTTTAGAAATTAATCATGGTCTTACTGAGGTATGGTTAGTGCAGGCTTGAACTTTTCGTTCTGTTCTAAAGAGGAATTTGGTTTTATAGCCACTTTTTTGGAGGACTGTTATTAATGATTTTCCTTTTTGCCTTTATTCAGTAAACAAATGAATCCTTTCATTGAAGATATTTTGAATAGAATACAAGATTTATTGGTCCTTTCTCCACCAGTAAGTATCTGTCTTTTCCCTAAATGTTGAGGCCACATGTATCATAAGCTTTTGTCTTTGTACATCTTTTGTTTCTTTTAACTTGGAGTGGGGAAAGGTGTGTGTACAAAGTTTATTTGGTCCTTTGTACCGGAAGTTTTTTGCACCAGGTGTAGTATTGCACGCCTGTAATCCCAGCACACCGGGAGTGCTGAGGCGGGAGGATCTCTGTGAGTTTGAGGCCCGCTTGGTCTACAGAAGTGAGTTCAAGGCCAGCCTGAACTATATAGTGAGACCCTACCTCCCCAAAAAATTTTCTTTTGCTATAATAAATATAGTAATGTAAAAGAATCTAGAGTTGATTAATAAATTTGGCAGCGTTGAGAATGGTATGATTTCTCTGTACTGTTAACGTTGGTGAAGTATTTTATAGAGAAGAAAAAATTCAACATCTGAATTATTTTCCATTTAGTACTACTACACTCTTATTTTTAGCAACCGCTATTACATGGAAGTTTTTCTATCTTCGGGTGCATGTTAAAAATGCTACATGCTAGTTCGTGTCCATGTCACTGGAAAGATGTGAGATATTTGTAACGTATTTTGCCTTATACATATTTTTGTGTAAAGCAAACTACTGACATTTAATGCAAGTGATTCTTAGAGTTGTCATTTGAGAATGTTAAGTATATCTTTTAAGTAAATATCACTATTCAGGTGGGAAAGGTCTGTAACAGCACTTCCTGGAAGATTATTTATTAGTAAATTACGTGGTTAATTTAGTTCTGCCTACCTACTACCAGAACCTGTTTTAAAGTCCTTCACCCAGTTCGTGCTCATTTTCCTTGTCAAGTTATGCTGACCCGTGAGACATAGGCACTCAAGAAGCCCTGTTAGCGTAGACGTACTGGAAATTTTCCATGTGGATTTTCACTACCTGTAGTCCTTCTTTCCTGCATAAAAACACCTGACTCAGATTACTTTCCTAGCTATTAACCACTTTTAGGGTGCCTTACCTTTATTGAGTGAGTTTATCTTTATGTTCTCAACTACTCAGCAGAGATAAGTCCTACCAGGTACTTAAATGTAGTCATTACTTCTCAGTGCAGACATTTCTCTTTCAGTGACAGAGGATTCTTTATAGTCTACGATTTATCTAAGGCGAGGTTTTTATATAAGAGTGTGTGTGTGTGTGTGCGTGCGCGCGCGCGCATGCGCGCGCGTGCAAATTTCTGAGGATTAAACCCAGAGCCTTGGCACTGTTACATCTGTAGCCCTTGTGTGTGTGTGTGTGTGTGTGTGTGTGTGTGTGTGTGTGTGTGTGTAGTTTGGTTTTTGTTTCGTTTTGTTTTTTCTTGGTGGGTACCAGGAATTGAACTCAAGGCCCTGTGCTTGCCAGGCAGGCGCTGTACTGCTAAGCTAATATCCCCGCTCTTATTTTATATTTTGAGACAGGGTTTCACTAAGTTCCCCAGGCAGACTTGAACCTACCGTCTTCCTGCCTCAGCCTCCCACAGTGCTGGAGTTACAGGCTTACACCATCATGCCCAACTATAGTTTCTTAATAGAGAATTTTAGTGTTGGACCTGGAGTGGCCCCTCATTTTCCCCCATTTACTCCTGTCCTCTCAGAGTGTGTAGGTTTAAAAGTCTGCAAAAACTGATCGTAGAATTTTAGCAGGATATGGTATGTTTGCTTATTTATGGAAGAGATCTGGGTTTTTTTATTTACAGTCTTTTCTATAGTAAGCAGTATTATATATACCTCTGTATGTATCTGTATTGTGTGAGCTTTGAACATTGGAAAACACTAGTTTGTAGTGGCTTTTGTACCAACAAAACGTTTTTATATAGTACCACATTTAACCTCGTAACAGTCTTGCAAATAACATTTTTACAAAAGGACATAAGTAAAAGGGCTAATAGTTACTTTATATATAATGATTTGGAAAGTCTCATCAAAGCTAGCATGTTTTCAGTGCTGGGGATTGAACACAGGGTCTCGGAATGCAAAGCACACATTCTAGTGCTGAGCTACACACCCCTGGTCCAGGACTGCAATCAGAACAGTCTCCTTTCTGTTACATGGTTGTGGGAAAAAATTGGGTTTTGTAAGTACTTGATCTGTGCATTGATGTGATACATTAACTCTCCCGTTCCTGTTATGTCATTCTGATTAAGAGGAGCTAAATAAGACTTCATTTCATCCTAGGAGAACGGATACCAGTCCTTGTTGAGCAGCGATGACCAACTGTTCATTTATGAGACAGCGGGAGTGCTTATTGTTAATAGTGAATACCCAGCAGACAGGAAGCAAGTATTAATGAGGAATCTGTTGACTCCACTGATGGAGAAGTTTAAAATTCTGTTAGAAAAGTTAATGCTAGCGCAAGATGAAGAAAGGCAGGCATCTCTGGCAGACTGTCTGAACCACGCTGTTGGATTTGCCAGGTGAGCGTGACTGCAGTTACAGTTATAAAGTATGTGGATCTACACAGATCCGCTTACTTGGATCTGTTAGGATGGGCGCACATACCTGTTTCCAAAGCTGGATTATTCATCTAGACTTTCCTCTTCTAAATACAGTAAGTTAAAAAGTTGAGCTAAAGAAGATAATAGATCGTATCCCATTCTACATTCTTGCTTTAGACCACTAGCTAAACCTGTAGTCCGTCTTTTGGCTTCTTTGGTACAAACTGGTTATGTATTTAAGGAGCTAGTTTAGGTTAGTCTTGGTGCCTGAAGGGGAAGGTCTTAATGCTTATCTTTAGCTGTTGCATTGTGTCGGAAGACCACCCAAGCAGCTGTTTCTTTCTACCTGTGCTTTTCATTGGCAAACAGTAATGGCATGGAAGTTGCAGTGATCGTTAATTAAAAGTTACAGAGAAAAAAAAAAAAAAAAAGTTACAGAGAAATTGTTCTACTGAATACTTCAGAGCAAGAGTTAGGGCTGAGAAAGGTTACATAAATAGATTGTGGAGGTTGTTTTCTAAATTTAGTGGATATTTTGCAGATTGCCTAGTGTAGCTTAGGTATAGTGAATAGATTTTTTTTCCTTTCTGTATACTTTATCAGGATTTTAGTAGAACAGGTAGACTCAGGTTGTATTAACTAGCTCATTTAACTTGATCCTTTTGTCAGGAATAGTGGTTGGAAGCAGTAGTTTACACATAGTCATAGTAGCTAAGGATGGAAGTACTTGTGATGGGGAAGATGATGGGTTTCTTAAATCTCTGTGCGTGCGTGCGTGCGTGTGTGCGTGTGTGTACGTGTGTGTGCATTGCTTTAGAAGGCTCCATAATACTTTTAAAGTAAAAGTTAACTCTAGTTGTCTGGATTTTGCTTAAATAGTCGAACCAGCAAAGCTTTCAGCAACAAGCAGACGGTGAAACAGTGCGGCTGCTCCGAGGTGTATCTGGACTGCTTGCAGACGTTCCTGCCGGCCCTCAGTTGTCCCTTACAGAAGGATATTCTCAGAAGTGGGGTTCGCACTTTCCTTCATCGAATGATTATCTGCCTAGAGGAAGAAGTCCTTCCATTCATCCCTTCCGCCTCGGAACACATGCTCAAAGATTGTGAAGCAAAAGACCTCCAGGAGTTCATTCCCCTTATCAACCAGATTACAGCCAAATTTAAGGTACCGTGGACTTACAGAGCTCTAAGGCTCACCTGATTTAACCACCTTTTTCCGATTTAAAGATTAGATGTCCTTATTTTCAACCGTATGTTCATTTTGCAGATTTTTTCTGTATGAGTTACTTTTATCTCCAAGGTCTAGCACATTATCTGACACACAGGTTGGTCTTACTAGATAGATGTTTTAATAAGAACAGACTAAGCACCTGGGCGTGGTGTCATATGCATGCCTATAATCCCAGCATTTGTGTTGCTGAGGCAGGAGGATCACTGCTAGTTCAAGGCCAGCGTGAACTGCATTGTAAGACCCTGACTCAAAAATAAGAAAATCCCTACCTACTGAACATATCAGAAGAAAGTAGTTTGCTGTTTTAGAAAATGAAATAAAAATAGTATTAAGACCTATCTAAAGAGGTAAATAAGAAGCACTAATTTAGCTGCCTAAGCAACAGTTGAAAAGTAATTAAGTGTATTATAGTCAATTTTATGTACAAAAAAATTTGGCTGGATGTGGTGGTACATACCTATAATCCCAGAACTTGGGAGGCTGAGGCAGGAGGATCGCTGTGAGTTCGAGGCCAGCCTGAACTAAATAGTGAGATTCTGCCTCAAAAAAAAAATATTAATATTAAGCCAGATATAAGCTGGCTATTAAAAATAGCTAACATGTAATACTTTCTGGGCTCAAAGTCTGTCATAAACATTTTTGTACATTAATTCTTTTGACCTTCATAATAGTCCTAGGAAATAGGATATTCATCTTACAGCTGAGGAAATCGAAGCACGATGAGGTTAAGGCACTTGCCCAAGGGTGTGTAAAATGTGGAAGCTCAGTCACATATATTGACTTATAATTGGGCAGTGCAGTTCATTGCTTGGAAAATTAAATTTGAAATTACTCCACGGCAGTTTTTGATTATGACTCCTATTATTTCAACCTAAATCTTAAGGAATGGATTCAAGTTACTTATCTTGAGAGTTTCATTAATGTATGTTATATAGATTTGTCTTAAACTTGTTTTCTAACTGAATTATGTAAATCCTATATAGAAACTGAGGAAACATTTTATGTAGAATTTTTTCCAAGGTTTGCATTTTCTTAAGTCTGAGGTGCTGATAGCTGTTTCTTACCCTCAGATCCAGGTGTCCCCGTTTCTGCAGCAGATGTTCATGCCTCTGCTGCGTGCGATTTTTGAAGTGCTTCTCCGACCGGCCGAAGAGAACGACCAGTCTGCTGCTTTGGAGAAGCAGATGCTGCGGAGGAGCTACTTCGCCTTCCTGCAGACAGTGACGGGCAGCGGGATGAGCGAAGTGATAGCGAACCAGGGTGGGTGCCGGCGCGCCCCCTTGGCGGCCTGAACCCTGTCCATGTTCGTGTACTTGTCTGTTTGGGCAACGATGAGTGGAGTGGATGCGGAACCGTTGGGTGTTGGCCCCTGGGAAAACAGTTCGTTATTTTTTTAGGACAGAAATCAGTTACTTTCATGCTTAATGCTTTAAATTCCAGTGCATAGGAAATCCTGAGGAGCAAGCTGTCAGGGAAATACTGAGTTTTTAGTGCTTAACGTTTACGGGCCTGGTTGATAAATGCTTTTTGATACGTTACTACGTCTGGACTGAGAGTTTCAGGTTGCCTTTGTAGTCTTTTCGAAGTTAAATGCACGTTTCTGTCTTCAGGTGCAGAGAACGTAGAACAGGTGTTAGTGACGGTTATCCAAGGAGCTGTTGACTACCCAGATCCGATTGCACAGAAAACATGTTTCATCATCCTCTCCAAGCTGGTGGAACTCTGGGGTAAGATACTTGGTTTGTTTCGTTTTATCTGTTGGTAGTGCTGGGGATCAAGCCCAAGGCTTCAGAGCTGCTCTTTTAAGCTACACCTTCAGCCTGGTAATTTTTTTTCACCTTTTGTTTTTCAACCTGTTTATTAATAAGAGTCATTTTAGAGATGAAATTGAACCGTAACCCAAACATAGGAACTGGGAGATGACAAATTAATTGATTTGGGTGACAAATCAATTGATTTTCCTGGTATGAAAGATGGAAATTTGAATTCTTTTAACAGGAGGTAAAGATGGACCGGTGGGCTTTGCCGATTTTGTTTATAAGCACATCGTCCCTGCGTGTTTCCTGGCTCCTCTGAAGCAGACGTTTGACCTGGCGGACGCACAGACGGTGCTGGTGAGCACTCAGTCGGGGTTTGCCTTGGGCGGGTCTCGTATTCGCACTTGCTTCTTTAGTACCAGGCTGACTGTATTGTGTTTCTTTCATTTTTTTCCTTTCTTTTGGTTCAGTGATTTTTAAGTTATGACATCCTTATTAATTTATTTGGGTGCTGGGCATCAAACCCAGGGTCTTTCTCATGCTTGGCAAGCATTCCACCAGTCCTTCCTACTTTAGCCGCTAAGCATTAAATGGCCACTTTCTTCTCCCATATGATAATTTCTCAGAATTTCAACTCCGGAATATTTTATGTCACATCGTTACTCTTATATCAGCCCCGTGCAGTGAGTTATCTATTTTCCCGGCAAACACTAGGGAAATGAAGGTTGCATCAGTAATCAAGAATTGACCGTCCTAAAACTCTTCAATCTGTTTTTCACAGGCTCTGTCTGAGTGTGCTGTGACACTGAAAACAATTCATCTCAAACGGGTAAGGTTTGTGATCTCTGCTCCTTCGTTCCCATCTTGTGCGTGAGCTTTGTTATGGTTTAACTGTTTGACTCACAAGAGAGATTTCGCTGCCGTATAAACTGCTTTGGATGTAGGGACGGGTGGAATGGAAGCAGCCGTGAAGTAGCAGGAGCCGTTACTGTCCTTGACGTTTCGGGCAACGAGAAGGTTCAAATGTGGTTTGTTTTGGTGACAAATGACGTGAAAAACCCTAAGCAGAATTTCAAGGCCCAGCCTCCTCCTGGCCGTTTCCCCAGTCTCTTAGTGTGAAAAGTGGTAGGAGACTTCATTGCTTCAGAGAGTTCATTCTTCCTTGTTGTAGCAGTTTGTGTACACCATGAGTAATTCTGGGTATTTTCAGATAGCTTGATCGGTTGCCAACACTTAAAAATAAGGTAACTTGCTTTTTCCTTTAGCGAAGTTCCTACTTCTGTCTTCTCTGAGACCCAGAAACCTAGCGCAGGACTGGCATTTCCTCATACTCGCAGTCATCTAAACAGCAGCGGTGTGTTCCGTCCTCTCCCGTCCCCTGCCGCCCCAAAGAGCATGAACTCCTATTTGAGCTTGATTCTGAGAGAGATTTGAAGGGTTTTCGGCTTAGAAAATTGTGAATTTTCTCTACATTCGGGGTTAGGGTTAGGCTCAGCCCTGTGCTAGGCTGATGTGGGGTGCAGAGGAGCTCTAGAAAAATGAGTGTCTCTGGTACGTGTGTAGCTCAGAATCAAGGGAGACCGGTGCACGAGTAGCTTTAAATGGGCTGAGCACGTTAATAAAGTTGTGTAAAATATTGTAGGACTAATCTGAGCAGTTTTGCCAAGGGAGTAACCGAAGCAAGCAATAGGAAAAGACCTCTTTTCGATAGATCTTAAGCCAGATGTTCATTGATTGAACTGTCAAGAAGAGGAGCTGGCATTCTGAGCAGAATTCGAGGGGAGACAGGTCAGATGTTAGGTAGTAAATTTGGTATGAAATAATAGAACGGTTTAGCTACAGTATGGAAGGAGAAGTAATAGCTAAATAGTAAAACCGGAACAGACAGTTAAAATCTTCGTATTAAACCAGAAGTAGTGGCGCGTGCCTATATTCCCAGCTACTTGCGAGGCTACGGCAGGAAGATTCCAGGTTTAAGGCCAGCCTGGCTAGCTTACAGGGATCCTGTCTTTTTTTAAAAAGGGCTGGGAAGGTAGCTCAGTGGTAGAGCACCTCTGGCCTCAGTCTCTAGTGCCAAAAAACAGAAAGAAGAAAAGCCTGTGTTAAATACGACCATTTGGGAAGTCTGTAGGCAGCAGGCTTATGATGTAGAGTAGCTAGGTGGGGGAAGACGCTCGGAGCTGCTTAGGGTACAGCGGTGAGCCTGGTAGGGCTGCACAGGGCTCCGGACACCTCAGTGACAGTGGTGTGAAGTGGTGGAAATGAGTGAGAATTTCTAAGATCGGGACAGAAAACGGCGCTAAAGCAACCGTCAAGAGAAACCTAGAAATAAAACTAAAGAGTATCATAGAGCTAAGGTTAGATAGTCCTGGGAGAGCTTGTTTGACAGTGTTGGGTGCTAGAGAGTTAAGGAGGATTACGAGTGAAAAGACATAGTAAGAATGGCGTTCATAATTTGAAAGTATATAGAAGTCCTAATTTAAACACACAGAATTGAGTCAAACAATATTATATTTAAAAACGTTTTTCTTTATTTTTCTATTTCCTCAAAAGAATGACTAGTGTGAGGTACAAGTTTACTCTTGATTTAAAAAAAAAAAACCTTCATGTGTAAGAAGTGGAATAAACTAAAGGAAAATGTGAGAAGAGATCTAAGAAACCTTGAGAGAAGCAGTACAGTGTTACCTGTCCTCCATTAGGAACAGATTTCCTTTGAAGGGTCATTACTCAGACCTAGACTTACTGGATTAGAGGGCCACCAGTCAAGGTGGAAAAGCAACATAAAAAAACCCTTGGATTCAGGAGCAGTAATGTGAAACAGGAAGTCTAGGTGTTAATGAAGGGAAGCCTGCACTGGGGAGAAATGACTTCATTTCACTTTGGTAACTATTACTTTTAGGTAGGGGCTGTTGGCATACTGAAGCCTTTAAGTTAGATTCAGATTTGAGTGAAACTAGCTGTGCTTTTTCTCTGTTGACTTTTGTTTAAGTACTGGCTTTGTTAAAGTTGCTTGTAGCCATGCTCTGAGACACATGGCTAAGGAGAAATGGCTTCCACGTGCATCCTGAGCTCCTTTGTAGCTGCACAAAAGGATGGGGGGTCTGTGTGGATAGGTTTAAACATAGGTTGTAGTCTGGCTACTAAATTCCTCTTCGCTACTTTGTTGAGCAGGAAAAAGAAAGTGTACTTCTATTGCCGATGTCTTCTGTCACACGATTTTGTTCTTTGTTGCATCTATTTTAATTTCTAAAAATGGTTGTTGGCACCGCTCCATGCACCCATAGGCCGCCCAAACCTATCCGATGGCAGAGTGACAGGAGTGCCTTCCCTTCGCCAGCTTCTTTCGTGCACAGAAGGCTGTGCATTGTGATCTGAATTCAGAAGTAATTCTAGCAGCACTTCACACTGCGTAGTGTTAACCTGTAGTTCATGTGAAGTACTACTCTAAGAGCTTTACATCCCTTAATTCACTGATTCTCACAATTGCCCGAGTTGCCAGAGCCAGTTTTGACCAAGTTAGTCTAGTTCTGCAGTCTCGGGGCTTGTTTCGTTTTGTTTTGTTTTAGAGGTCGAACCGAGGCCTTCCACTGAGCTGCATCCTAGCCCTGTTTTTATTTTGTAACAGGGTCTTGCTAAGTTGCCCAAGGTGGACTTGAACTTGTGATCAGCCTCCCAGTCTGTTTTCTTAATCACAGTGCTGAGCTGGGCGTGGTAGCACATACCTGGAATGCCAGCTAAGTGTGAAGGCCCTGGTTTCAATCCATAGTACCTTGAAAAAAAAAATCACAATGCTGTGTTGCTTTTAAAATATGCACCTGTTGTTCTAATTTCTTTTTAAGTATTGTTAATGTCCATAAAGAAAATACTTCTCTTTTACTCTTTAGGGGCCAGAATGTGTTCAATATCTTCAACAGGAATACCTGCCCTCCTTACAAGTAGCTCCAGAAATAATTCAGGTAAGAGCTGCCCTGGCCGATTTTGTTTTTAATTTAATTAAAGAAATCTGAGTATATAGTTCAATCTGAATTTTAATAAAGAAAGCCCAACTGCATTTGCCTTCATGTTTTGCTATGTGTAGGACAGCAAGAGTTTTTAAGTAGTGTGGAGTCCACACCAGGGTATCTGTGAAATTACGTGGATAAAAATTTATATTTTTATATTTATTTACCTCTAATAGAAATTTAATTTCCTGCCATCAGATAGAGTACTAATGTTCCCTGGGGCTTGGTCTAGTAGAAATCACAGATATTTTCATGCCACATAAGTGGTTGTAGGTACCAAAATACTGTTTATACATGTCACTGTTTTGAAATTACATGTTACTAGTAATGACACTATGTACCTCTTATAACCTAGTAAGAGATAAGACTTGTATTAGCACACCTTAAATATTTTGATAACACAACTCATTAGCATTTGTTTACTTTGTAATCCAGTGGTATGGTATTTTATGCATTTCAAAAACACATTCTGAAAGTAGCCAATAGGTTTCTCCAGATGGCCAAAGGGGACCATGGCACATAATAGAACCTGTGTTGTGAAGGTTTGTGCCAAATTTATCAATGCTTCATTTGTAAATCTGAAACTGTTTTGAGGTAAGTGGCTAGAAACTTACCTTATACTTTTATGCTTTTACAAAGTGTAATAGCATTCAGTTTTCTTCTTGAGATATGGCTTTTCAAACTTCTTGTCCAGTATAATATACACAGCTAATGAGATATCAAACTTTTTTTTTCTAATTTTTTTGAGACAGGGTCTCACTATGTAGCTTAGTCTGGCCTTGAATTCATGGCAACCCTCCTGCCTCAGCCTCCCGAGTGCTGGGATTACAAGTGTGTGGCACCACACCTAGCGGTTCAAACTTTTGAATAAAACTAGAATTATAGTCTGTTGTATAGTCTAAAATTTATTTCTTTACCAACAAGGGTTTGATTTTTTTTGTTGTTGTTTTATTTTTAATTTAATTTATAGTAAGATAGCATGAGCTATACATTCCTAACATTTTAAAGTGTACAATGTTGTTGATTTAGGGACAGTATTGTACCTATACAACATTAGGTGGATCTCTAAGATGTATTTTTCTTGCATAATGAGACCTTATGCCCGTTACGAAATCCTAATTAACTTTTTGCTCTGATTCTGTAAGTCTGACGAATTCCATTTCTGTGTCATTGCAGATAGTGTGAACGTGTCAGCACAGGTGTCTTTCAGAGACACGGTGTGGAAGTTTTCGGGCTGGGGTGTGGCTCGGTGGGACCTTGCGGGGCCCTTGGTTTCACGCCCAGCAGCAGTGAGGGCAAGGAGCGCTTCAGGCAGTTTTCATGCTGCTGGCAGTGAACAAGAAGCATTGGACATTGAAAATAGAGTGTTAAACATGTGAACTGTTTCCCTGAAAACAATGTTACTAACTGCTCATGGGCTTTGTACCCATGATAAGTAGAAAAATACCACACTGTGTAAATTACTTCTTTTCAGATTGCTAAGTGATGCAAGTTATATTTCTTTTTAGTAATTCTATTGTAAAAGTAGTATTAGGAACCTCAGTTTTACCTGTTTATTATGGTTTATGTTCGGAAAACCCTTTCTGGAGAGTTGCACTAGAGAGACTGCCTCTTTTCCTTTCGTTCTAGCTGTGCTCACTCACCCCTCTCACTGGGTAACGTAATTACCCATTGTAAAAATGGGCTTTTGTATCATTTACTCTTCTTGGGCAAGAGTTCCCCTTGTCCTGGAGAAGCACGTTCCCCAGAGTGGAAACAGCCTGCCTGACAAGTGCTGTGTTTGAAAACGCCGTGTAACCTTTTGTGGTGAAGGTTTTGAGGGGTTGATTTTCATAAGCTATAATAGGAATACTGTGATTTGAAGCAATCTTAATGTCCAGTGGTAGATGAATAAAGAAAATAGGGAATATACGTACATTGGTATTATTAATGTGTATATAAAAAAGGAAATCCATTCGTATGGTATAACATAGTCAAAACTAGACTACATTACGTTAAGAGAAATAACCACAGGAGGATAAATACAACACAATTCCACTTTTGTGAGATATCTAAAGTGGTCAGACTTTCCAAAACAGAAATTAGAACGGTGGTTGTCGGACTGAGGAGGAGGAAATGGGAATTGTTGTAAAGGCGTGGAGTTTTAGTTTTGCAAGAGGAAAAGGCTGCCAGGTGTGGTGACGTACACCTGTAATCTCAGGACTCCAGAGGCTGAGGCAGGAAGGTCACCGCAAGTTCGAGGCCAGCCAGGGCTGCGGTGAATTCAGGGCCAGCCTGGACTACATAGGACACCCCATCTCAACAAAACAAAAGAAGATTAAAAGGCTTTAATGATCTGCTAGGCAACTAGTTAACACTACTGTGCTGTCCATTTAAAAGTGGGTAGGATGGATAGTAAGGTGGGGGTCTTTTGTCACAACTGTTAAAAAGTTATGGTGGACATGATACATACTGACCCTCCTCTCTGTCCTCCTTTCCCTACTTCCCAGGAGTTCTGTCAAGCACTTCAGCAACCTGATGCTAAAGTTTTTAAAAATTATTTAAAGGTAAGTGTTTGGAAACTTCTCTGTCTTCATGCAGCTAGGTAATACGTAAAGGCCCAGAGAGAACACACATATACTGTAGTCTGTCACGTACTTTGAGATCTCTTGGCTCTAAAGTCGGCTTCCAGGAATCTGCAGTTACAGATGCTTTTGTGAAGCCCCTTTCAGCTAAGGCTCTGCACAAGATCACTGGCAGTTAGAAATGCACACTGCATTGTGCATGCCCGGAGAATGTCAGTGTGAAAGGACGGTTTTCTTTGGTTTCAAGATGTAATTAAATAGGAACCAGAGGATTAGAAGGACGAGAAATGTGCGAGTCGCCCATGGTAACTCGAAAGGGAAGAGGCTAAAAATACAAAAGCAGAAGTATGAATGGCATGTTTCTGTGCTGTTTGGAAACATCGGGGTTGTGTAACAGACGCAAAGGGGGATCCCACGGTTTGGCATCGGAGCTCATAATCACGAATCGCTGGCTTAGCAAACCTAACCTGGTAGTTGGCGGAAGGTGCCAAGTGTGTGTTTGGTATTCGTGCTTAGTTAGATTAGTGAGACAGACTGCGTCCTCCTGGATGGTCAGTCATTTCTCCCCTCGTGACCACGTGTAAACCAAGCAAGCGCTGTGGTAAGGGAGTGGTTTTTCTCTGCCCCGGGACTCCCACTGTCCGGGAGAAACAAAGTTAGCACCACAGGATGCAGAACTGGGGTTTGCGATTCTGAAGTTTCCCTTTGTCAGTTATTTTCTAGTCGTAGCGTGTATCACTGGGAGGCCTACTCTCCCTTATTTTTCTGTAAAAGCAAAGCGTCTATAGGGGTAACAACCATTGGAACTTGACGGAAGGACTCAAAAAAATCTTGGTTAGATCAGTCACAGGAAATCTAAGGACACTGTAGAAGGCTGTGCTCCAGGTGTGCTTATTCCTCTGCGCGGCATCTATAAAACGTCTTCCTCCTTACCCCAGCTTGTCTTCGTTATCTTAGGGATAGCACTGTCTCCGTGTTAGCATTGTTCTTCTCGTTGGAAAAACGTGCCCATTTCTCCCCTGAACCTCAGCTCTTACTGATTCTGTCCTCCGCTGGGTAGGCTTGCTTCACTCTTATCTCTGATCTCCATTTGTTCAACCAGGCGGATATACTCAGAAACATGTCATTCCTGATTCGCTGCCTGTCCTCATACTCTTCCTAAGCCCATTGTTTACTAAAAACAAGTTCATGTTTCTTGACTCGGCGTTTAACTTTTCTTCCTACTCGGATTTCAGACCACTGTCTCGCTTCTCTCAAAGGGGCTGTCTTTGCGGATGCTGTTGCTCAGAACTCCCGCTCGGGCTCCGTGTGCTCTCTCCCGTGGTGCCCTCCCTCCTGCTGTGGGGTGTACTTCTCCTACTTTCACTTGGCCCAGACTTGCTCTGCAGAGCCTGGTTTTTTTTGCTGTACGTTGAATAAATCTTTGCTACTGTTAAAAACAAAACAATCTTGCCTTATTAGCAGCCTTCCTTTATGAATTCTGCCCATTCTGGTGTGCTTGCTTTTAAGCATGGCCTCCTGGAAACGTTTTCTTTTGCCTTGTAGTGATTGTTCTTTCTTCAGCTTAGATTCAACTGCGTGTCTAATCCAGCAGACGCAAGGAATACAGCAATCGATAAATTCAGTCCTTGTCCTCAGCGAACTTCCTGCCTGCCCTTTACTATTTCTAGTGCTCGTGTACGTGACTGTACGGCAGCGTGTAGTGCTGGATCAGAGTCCAGCGTGGCCTTTGGCCTGCGCCTTGATAGTCTCAAATACTCAACTAGAAACGCCTCTAATCATCAAGGAAGTATGAACTGTAAAGACTCAACTGCTGTCTTCAGCTCAGAATTCAATGTCCCAGTGTTAATTTTGAAAGTGGGTCAAGTCAGTGTAAAGGTTTTGAGAGCAGGTTCTCCTCTACCGCTTGGACGGCACAGCGTTACACCGTAGATTCATTACTTTCCCAACTGGGTGATGTCAGCCGAGTTATATCCAGACTTTATCGAATTGGTCAGAAGACAGAGTTCTAACTTAGACTATATGTGGATTCATAAACGATGTGAAATGTTTTCAGTATCTTTTGCACAGTACAGAAGGGTGACCAGCATTCAGAACTGGGAACCATTCTTTGTGTAGAAGAGGTTCAGTTTTCTGACATTTGTATTAATTGTATGAATACTTTATCTACAGGTGTTCTTCCAGAGAGCGAAGCCCTGAGGACTGGATTGCCCTGTGCCTACATCATGATCAGGGATTCCAATTAATAATTTATAAAGAAATGATTTTTTTGTGTGCCATTCACTCTGGTCTTTTAACATTGCTTGGAGCTTGTGGCAGTGTACGTACTGGGATTTTTCTGTAAAATGGGTGTAATTTCCCCCTAAATACAGGTATGTAACAAGGGAAGTTGCTGCATGCCAGCTAAATTGTTCTATATAAAAATGTTGCAGAGTTATCCTATTACCTTAATTTTTTTCTTGATTTCAAATTTTAAGTCCTTTATAAAGACCATAGAGTGGAAAACTACTTTTTTTAAAAAAATTGCTGAATATAAAATGTTTGAAAATTTAGTTTTCTTTTACATATGCAGACATATAAAATATAGGGGGAATAAAACAATCAAAACTGATTTTTTTTGTAGATAGCCATTACGTTTCCTTAAACTACTTCAATGGCAATGTGTATTCTACAGAGAAAATGGGTTCATAAATTCATTGATTTAAAAGTAGGTGCCAATATTACATATTTTTTATTAAAAAATAAATTTTACGTAGTGAAATCTATCAAGTCTTTTCTGGAATCATTATAAAGACTTTAGCTTTATTTTCCCATCTTAATTTCTCTCTGATTTTCCATTTAAAGGTTTGCAAAATCAATGTGGATGCCTTATTTCACTGTCTCCTGAAAGGTTACATGCAATGTAATTGTTAAATAAGTCTTTTTTAAATGCATTAGAAAAATCTTGTGTGAATCTGTTGATATAATTAAAACCGTGTTTTTCTTGTTATTGGGTATACTTAGAAGAGAATGTACCTGTGTGTCTATGATGTTTGTAAATACTGTTGTCAGCTACTATTTAATTACTGGACGTGTTCCCTCTGCCTTCCCTCATTTTTATTCATGGCAAAGGAAGAAAGCAAGAGGAAGAATAACAGTATCGGTAGTAGCATTGGAAAAGAGAGATTTTGGGGACAAAATCAAAAATAACTACAGATACTTATTTTAGAAACCCATTTAAATTTTTTAGGAAGGAGTGCTAGGGATGTAGCTTAATGGCAGATCACATACCTAGCATGTTCAAGGCCCTGGATTGTGTCTGCAACACCAAAAAAGAAAAAAACTAAAATTGAGTGGGAGATCAGTTTTTTTTATTTACCTTTGGGTTTCATGGATGAGCTTCAGTGACTTATAAATTTCCCTAAAATTGTATTCTAAGTTGTGCACATGAAATCTTTTTAATCTCAGAAGAGATTTTAAACGTATTCTTTACATTATGGAATAAAGGTACTAAATTGACACTTAACTAGACAAATAGATCAGTGGAATGTATATTATACTTCAATAAAAAAGCTTTTAAAAATAGTTAAGTGAAAGCTGGGTGTTTTATTTTGCTAGGTTCCCCTGTACTGTGGGAGAGAGAATTGCATCTATGACAAAAAATACATTGAGATGACTGGCATAGTACTTAAAAGTTTATGTAACCTGGGCTCAGGACCCAGACTAAGTAGGTTCCAGTACCAGTTATGCCAGTAACTGGTTTTAGAAACATAGTTTCCCCTGGGGCTGGGGATTTAGCTCAGCGGCAAAAAGCGCCTGCCTGGCAAGCGCAAGGTCGTGAATTTGGTTCCTGGTACTGGAGAAAAACCAAAAAAAAAAAAAAAAGAAACATAGTTTCCCTGTCTCAAAAACAGAGGAAATAGCCAGGCGTGGTGGTGCACGCCTGTAATCCCAGCACTGGGGAGGCTGAGGCAGGAGGACTGTTGCAAGTTCGAGGCCAGCCTGGGCTCCACAGTGAGAGCCTGTCTCAAAAAGGAAAAAAAAAAGGAAAAAAAATAGAGGAAACAATGGTAGCTACCTCATAACCCATTAGGAATTCAGTAGGTTGAACATGAAAGCTTATTACAGTAGCTGACACATAAGGCCTTGGTATTAGGGTGTATCACTGTACTAGTGGTTTTTATACATAGAAAAGTAAGACCTTTTCCTCTACCTCTTTAAAGCCCTTCAGAAGATTCACATATTTAGAACTAAGAGAAATCAGGACACGAAAGTCAGTGTTTAAATAGAAATCACTCTTCACATGGTGTAATCATGTGTAATTCTTGTCCTCATTCCTTGCGTCACCCCACCCACCAGCAGGACTTCCATCAAGACACCTTAGGAGAAGCGAGTGCCCAAACAGTTGTTTCAAGGGTAAGTCTCCCTTGTTACGGGAGAGATATATGAGGCACACAATCGAGTGGACCCACGGGGTTTTATGATACCTATTTCAGACCTAAGCCCAACCGTTTATTTAAATCTTAATACCAAGCTTAATTTGTTCGCAAGTGGCTTGGCCTTTAAAGTACTGTGTGGTATTTTAATGTGCATTGTCACTAAGGGGCAAGGGGAATAGAGACAAGGTCTCACTCTATGGTCTAGGCCGGCCTTGAACCCGCAGGCCTCGTGCCTCAGCCTCTGAAGGGCTGGGATTACGGGTGTGTGCCATGCCTGGCTGTGTGCTGTATCTCTTCCTGTAAACATGTCACATTCCCCTCCAGCTTGAGCTGTGGGTTTTTACTGTTGCGGGGAAGCGGACAGGTCTTCACTCTCATGTGATACCAGGACGCTGACATTGGTTGGAATTGTAAGCAGTGAAAAGATTTGTTGTTCGATGAATTCATCGCTTAAACGTTGTTTAAACTTCTAATAAAGTAACTTCCTAAGGATTCACTGGACTGAGCCTCGGTTTTCTCCACTGTGCATCGGATGAAACACCTGCCTAAAGCACCTGGCAGACGGAACTGGGACTGCGCCGTGGGGTCCGTGCACTAAACGGCGCTGCCCCGGGTCTCTGCCCTCTCCTTGGGTAGCACGGCTTCGGGGCTGTCCCGCGTGGAAGAGAGCCGCTCGAGCGGGACTTGACTTTGTACTGATTTTAGTCTTCGATGTAGTACTTAGGTTCTCCAGTGTTGCCGTTTCCCAAAATACGGTCCGAAAGGGGTTTCCGTGAACACACTGAGCACCTGACTCCATCCTGCAAGACGACCTGGCTGCGCTGCGGAGCGGTCTTAGGCGGGTGCAGACCTCCCGCTGCGGACCTGCCCCGCGTCCCGCGCGCCCGCGACCATCCGCTGTCACCCGGCTTCGCCTAACCTGCGCGGGCGGGGCTCCCCAGCTTCGCCCTGGGGGCGGGGCCGG